AACAGTAGTAATAATAAAATATATCGTATGTGCACATGAGCTCTCTGGTTTGGGGCAGCACAGGGATTTTCTGAGTGTTGAGAAGGTTGGGCTGGGCAGTTCCTAGTCAGGATTGTCAGGGATAGAATTTTAAAATGAAAACCAAGTTTTTATAGTTGAACCTGTAATGTCCTTGCAAGCAAGGATCTTCCAGCCTGAAGGAGTTCTGGGGGTATCCAGTTTTTATATTTCCAAGGACTGAGTTCCCACCCCCATGAGGAAGAATTATTCCTTTATTCTCCAACCAAATTTTCCCATATTGCAGCTTTTCCACCCACCCTCTTGTCTTTTCACCTCAGATGGGTCTGACTCCCTTATTTTTTCTGCCTTAGGTTCCAGACATTGAAAGACTCCATCAGAAACTGCCTTTGCTTTCTTTTCCTCTGCTCAGAAGCCCCAGTTGCACACCCCCCCAGTGGTCCCACCTGGACCTGTTGCAGTTTGTCATCACGTGCATGGAAGGGCCCCCAGCTGGACAAACCTTCCAGATGTGGTCACTGATAAAGGGTAGAACCCCCTCCCTCAGTGCATGGAAGGACCCCCAGCTGGACAAACCTTCCAGATGTGGTCACTGATAAAGGGTAGAACCCCCTCCCTCAGTGCATGGAAGGGCCCACAGCTGGACAAACCTTCCAGATGTGGTCACTGACAAAGGGTGGTCACTCCTCCCTCGGGCTGGGGGAGGTTCCCAGCGTGTCCCACAGTCCAGGGACACCCTGAGGCCCCGTCTGACCTGCTGCCCTTCCTGTGCCCAGCCAGTGCCAGGGCAGGGCAGGAATTTGTGGGGAGCTGGAGCAGCACCAGACCCTGCAGGGCTCAGTGTCCCCCGGGCTGGGAGAGGCTGGGGCTGCCCGTGGCTCCAGCAGCTCCTCTGGAAGGGGCACATTACTCCAGGCATCCCTCAGACACACAGATCCTTAGTCACAGTGACTCACACGAGACAGAGACACAGATAAGCAAATCCAAAGTCTGGGAGAAATGGTTCATTAGCATAAGGTCATTTTTTATTGCTCTCATGAGAAGGGGGCTCATAAAAAAGAGGGAGAACGACTTTTTACATGGACAGGACAAGGGACAGTGGTTTTAAACTGAGAGAGGAGAGATTTAGGTGGGATATTGAGAAGGAATTCTTCCTTGTGAGGGTGGGAAGGCCCTGGCCCAGGTTGCCCAGAGAAGCTGTGGCTGCTCCTGGATCCCTGGAAGTGTCCAAGGCCAGGTTGGACAGGGCTTGGAGCAACCTGGGCTGGTGGAAGGTGTCCCTGCCCATGGCAGGGAGTGGGACTGGATGAGCTTTAAGGTCTCTTTCAACCCAAACTGGTCTGGGATTCTGTGTTGCCTCAAAGAAATGCAACAGGGTTTATTTCAACGTGTTCATTCTCTAATTGCACCTGGACTGGGGGTGTTCAATAAGCTCCACGGCCCAGCTGCTGGGGCAATGAAAGGCTTGGCCCCTGAAGTCCATCAAAGACCTCTGAAAACCCCTGTCTAAAACGTGAAAGCAACAGTTGTTATTGGTGAGCTTCAGGCACAAAGGGGAAACCTCTCCAGTTCTTGCTTCCAGCTCAACTAAGTTGGTGTTGAAATGCTTCCCTTGTGCCTCTCAGTTAGACTGAGACATCATAGAATCACAAAATCACAGAATTACAGAGGGTGGAAAAGCCCCTTGAGCTCATCAAGTCCAACTGCTCCCCCAGCGTGGCCAAGGCCACCACTGACCACATCCCCAAGTGCCACGTCCACAGGGCTGTTAAATCCCCCCAGGGATGTGACTCCACATCCCTGGGCAGCTGTGCCAGGGCTGGACAGCCCTTTCAGCAATGAAATTTTGCCTGTCACCCAGCCTACACCTGCACAACTGGAGGCTGTTTTCCCTCCTCCTTGTTCCCTGGGAGAAGACACCAACACCTCGGGCAGCCTGTCCCAGTGTCCCTGCCCTGCGTGTGCCCTGCGAGATGAACTGAGCCCAGGCAGGACCTCCCAGGGCAAGCTCTGATTTCCACAGGCTGATGCAAACCTGGCTGTGGTTAGACCTGGCCTGGAGCTGGGGGTGGGATGTTCACACAGTGCACCACACAAGCAAACTGAAGCACAGCTGCAGCTTGGCAGCTACTAAAGAAAATGACTCTGGCCCCTGCAGAAATAGGGCGTCGTTTGTCCTCGTGCTGGCTCAGGACCTGGCCCCACTGAGCAGGATTTACCCTCCCACTCACAGCTCTGCACACCCCGCTGAGGGCCCAGGACTGGCACCCCTGGAGGTGCCCATGGCCCACATCAAGGCTCAGGTTTGGTTTCACTGCAGTTTTGAGCTCTGCTGATCCAAGCAGGGCTGGGATGGAATGGGATTTGCATGACTTTGCTGCAGCAGCACTGCTGACCCAGGGACTCCAGGGATGGTTTGTGACACTCCTCTGTAGGTCCAGGCTCGGTGGGATCCCACTGAGGAGACCCTCCAGGCCAGTCCCTGTATCTCCCTCACTTGGAGAACAGGGATCATCCCTGTGCAGTGTTTCTGTGGAGCTGTTTGGCCAGTGTGTGTGCTGGCACTGAGATCACCACGGCTCCACCAGCTGTATTTAAAGGGTTTATTGATCTGCAGGGGCTTGCTCATTCAGCTCTCCAGACACCCCAGAAAATCACTCCTTTATTCTTCTCCAAAGGATCAACGCTCAGGATGGGACACACGTCCCTAAAACAGACCTACAGCAAAACAGCAGCCCAGGTTTGACACACACCCACAAAGGTTTATGGTTTTATAGGCAGATGGCAGAGTTTCAGCATAAATTAAACCTAAATGAGGAGTTTATAGAATCAGAGAATGGTTGATGTTGGAAGGGAACTCAAAGATTATCTCTGACCTAATGCAACTCAAACACTGGAAACCAAAGCCAAGCTTAGATTCGTTTCTTACCTCCAAACTCTATGGAATTGATGATTCCTGGCAGAAGGAAACAGCTCAGCTCTGTTTTACAGGGAACCAGTGACAATGCTGGGTCCAGCACTGCAAATGGGCCATTTTATAAGTGTGGTAACACCAGTTTCCTCCTCCCTTGCAGCTTTTGTGACCCTGATGGAGCATCCACCTAGAAATTTTGTGGGGTCAAGAGCCAATCGAAACTTGGCATGTTTTGGAACTGAAACATGTTTGGGATTTTTTTTAATCTGGGGTATATGTAGCAAGACAAGGAATCTCTTTCTGCATTCCTGCTTTGGATACCAGCACCTTTCTCATTGTCATTGCACCATTTTGGTCCCCATGTTCCCCACCATGGACACAATGGCACCATCAATTCCTCTGCCTTTGACCCTATTATTTTTTGGGGGTGAAAATGAGGCACATCACGAACTGTGATCCCCACACTGAGTCAGAGAGGCTGAACGTGCTGAGGGTTCTGACTGCAACTGAGAGCCTAGAAAATGAGATTTTTACCATAAAAAAACTTCATCTAATTTAGATTCTAAAGTGAGGCTCGATGTACCTTGGGCAAATCACCAAACCCATCTTTGCTGCTCAGAATGAGAATAAACACTCAAAATGGGAATGAGCAACACTTTTGTCCCTCTGCCTTCATAAACTGCCAGGTCTGTAGAGTCTGCACAGCCTCTGGCTCTCCAGTTGGGTGGCTGGGGCAGTGATGGATTTCCACTGGAGCATTAAGCCTCTGCCATTAAATGAGCGATAAAGTGGCAATGAATAAAATACACGTTGCTGTAGAGAAAACTATGAATTATACATGTGGCTGCCACTGGCTGGAGGCCTTGGAGGGCAGCACCAGCTTCTGCTCCCTCACAGCCACCTTCAAACAGGCAACAGTTTTTACTTGCTATTTCTTCACTAAACAGCAATCCCATGTGGTACCTCTGAGCAACAAGAAATGAAGTCAAACTACTGAATGTTCCACCTCAGAATGGCATTAAATATCTTTTTGCTATTTGTAGAGAGAGTAACTCCAAACAAAAGGGTATTTTAGCAACAAAATGTGCTCAGTTGCACGGCTCAGTGCACCAGGCTGCTCTGAGACATCCGGCAGCCCCTGCCCAGCTCTGCAGCCCTGCCCAGCTCTGCAGTTCCAAAGGGATGCCCAAGAGATTTTTAAGCTCCAGGAAAGCAGCTGCTCTGGAGCAGGAGCATTTTTAGGATTTGATAACAACAATTTGTTTCAATGCCATTCTATGATTCTTCTGGGAATGATTTTTCACCAACGTGTTTAATCAAAGTAAGGTCAATTAAGGAATAAAGAGACCTCATGAATGCTGAAGTGCAACACTTGCTTTATCTCTGTGTTGTTTCCTTTTGGAGATTTTCCAATACTATGAATTTTATTAAAGAATAATTCCCTAAAATGAATTCCATTACACACTTGTGATTCAGAAGAACACATTCATTATATGTCTTTCCACCTGACTCCAGAGAACACAACTGAGATGGAGATTTATTCTCATGCCACAGTGAATTCCACCTGCCTCCTCCTCATAAGGGATTTACATGGGAAACTCCAGCTGAATATGAGGGAAAATTTCTTTGTTGTGCAGGTGACCAAGTACTGGAAGCAGCTGCCCATGGAGGGTGTGGAATCTCCTTCCCTGGAGGTGTTCCAAACCCTTCCTGAATGCGATCCCAGGTAACTGCTCTGGGTCAGCCTGCTTGAGCAGAGAGTTGGATGAGATGATTTCCAGAGGTTCCTTCCCACACCAACCACCCTGTGAGTCTGGGATTCTGGGGTTTCCCCCAGGTGACATACCTGGGGTGGGTTTCCATTTCTTTGGTCGCTGTCCTCCCATTGCCACAGATCCTGATTTTTGCCTTTATCTTTCATTTTCCACAAACTCATGGACAGCAGTGGGGGGGTGTTGGGTGTTCTGTGCTTGACTGGGATGGCAGAAGACTTGGGAATGTTGCCTGAAAGAGTTGAAGGACACTCTGGGGTGGGGAGCTTGGAGTCCCATCAAGGTGTCCATCACCTTCACTCCTGTTCTCCCAGGAAGTGGCTCTTGGAGCAGGCAAACACCTTCACACCCTTCTCCCTGCTCTGCTGTGCCCTCACTCTGCACACGAGGGGCTCAGAGTGGTGGGAGCAGCACGTGCAGGTTGGCCAGCAGGATGTGGACATGGCAGGGGACGTTCCAGCTGAAGTGTCACATCAGAGCCAGGAAAGCAACGGGAACGTAGAAAAAGACTGAAACACAGCTGGGAGAGCCACAGGTGCTGGAAGCCTTGTGGTCCTGGAGGAGCCTGAACAGCACCACGAGGATGAGCACACAGGACACAGCGAGGAGGCCAGGGTGGAGCCTGACCACGGCCAGAGGCACCGTGAGGCACCAGCTGCTGAGGGAGGTGTGGGTGCGGGCCGGGCGGGCGGTGCCCGTGTGCCCACAGGGGGTGAGCAGGATGACCCTGTGCCCGCAGAACAGCAGCCACTTCAGCAGGAAAATCCACGGGAAGATGATGCAGAAGCTCCTCAGCAAAGCCCCCAGGCCGGTTTGGCCGTGGCTGCCGGGGCCAGCACTGCCCCTGGCACAGCGGGAGCAGATGGCATTGGAACAGTCAAAGGCTGTGGCCAGCGGGATCCCCGACCCCCCGAGCAGGTGAGTGCAGGGAGAACAGCTGGGTCAGGCAGGCACCAAAGGAAATCTCCTGACAGAACCAGAACAGAGCCAGCCCCTCGGGCACCGCTGTGGTGGAGAGTGCCAGGCCAGCGTGGGCAGGAGGAGGTACATGGGCAGGAGGAGGTACATGGGCAGGAGGGTACATGGGCAGGAGGAGGTACATGGGCGGTGAGTACATGGCAGGAGAGGTACATGGGCTGGTGGAGGTACATGGGCTGGTGGAGGCTGCGCTCACTCCACGTGGGGAACAGCAGGACACTGCTCCCCAGCAGGGCTGCCAGGTATGAGGGGCAGAACGGGATGGAGATCCAGACGTGCAGCTGCTCCGTGCCCCGATCCCAGCCAGGATGAACGTGGTCAGTCAGGCTGACCAGGGTGTGTTCACCTGAAGGCAGAAGGCACTGCAGAACGGGATTTTGGGTGCTCGAGCTCCTCCATGGGCTCCAAACGCCTGCTGGCACCTGCTCTGCTCTGTGAAGAGCCACAGCCAGAGGTACCAACCCAACTCACAGCCCCGTGCTCTGCACTGCCCTGCAGCCTGTCCTGGCTCCCCCTCCTGTGTGAACAGCAACGTCCACGTTTTCTCCTCATTTCATTTTAATACAACAGAAATGTGTTTTTCTTCCAAGTGCTTCCACTTCAAACAGAGTGGCTGGAGACAGAATCAGCCTGGTTGCACAGATACTGTGATACTTCTGTGTTCTCTGAGCCCAGAGTAGAAGGAAGAAATCAAGCAATGAGAGAAGAAAGGTCAAGTGTTTGCAGGGACGCACAAGATGTTCTCAGACATCAGGAATGGGGACTTCTAAGGCTCCTGGACTCACACTTAGAGTAGAGAACAAAATCAGCTCCAAGTCTGAAGATAGCTGCAAGTTCCTTCCTTATCTCCAAAGTCTCTCCCTTCCCTTTGGGCTCTGGGACCCCATTCAATTTGCTTTTCAGTTCTTTTTCAGAGCAGAAATAAAATTTAACCAGGCACTTGGAAAGACCTTTGTGTCAGGGGAAAACCTGAGTGAGGTGGAATTCCCCCTCCAGCCAGAGGAAGGATGTGCTGCTGCCCTGGAGAGGCCTGAAGAGCCCCAGAGGCTGGATCAGAGCCAGACTCACGAAAGTTGAAAAGAAATGCAAATGTTTTCAGCAACTTCTGCATTAGCAATCAGGTCTTACATATCAAAACTCAAACCAGGAATTATCCATAATGCAGCCAAGAGGAGAAAGTGGTGCAAGTGCTGAAAAACAAAACTGTGAGGTTCCTGCACACCAAAAAAATTGACTCTGTGTGTTAGAAACTAACTGTACCTTCAACAACAAATTGGATTCCCTGTTCACATTCAATTCCATGTCTACAACATCCTGGACCATGAAAGTCCAAGGAGCCCGATCCAGGGAAACACAACATGACAGTGGACTGTCTTTGAAAATAAAACTCATCAAAATAATAACTGATTCTATAATAATAATGAGAATATGGAAAATTATTGTATAACAATAATTACTATTCTTTAATAATAACAACAAATCCTGTAAATTATTTAAAACAGTTCAGTGTAAATATTGCATGAAACAAAAATAGATGTGATGTATTAACAGACAAACTATTACCAGTGCTGGTAGCTGACAGCTGTGCTGCCATGCCAACAGCTCTGCCTCTCCAGCAACACGGGAATGCAAAACTGCAAAGAAACAGGGATCCAGGGGGAATCTCAGTGCACCGGGAGCTCTGCACCAAAGGATTCTCCTCAGCATTAGACCCCTTCTCCATGATCTATCAGACCCCTTCCTCCATCATCCATCCTCACTATAAACGTCTGTTATCACGGGTTTTAATGCAGCTCTAAGGATGCAGATCCCACAGCTTCCCTGAGCAGCCCCTTGGATTCTTCTTCCCTGAACTCTTTTAATTTCAATTTAAACTAAAAGCAATAACCTAAAAAAACAACCCTGTCCCTGCCGAGCTGCCCTGGTATGACGGGAAGCTCTGCAGAGAGCTCTGGGATCACCGCAGAAGGGTTTTGGTGCTGCAGAGGGAGGGAGAGAGGCTGGAGCCCCCCCCGCTGCATCCCTGGGGGCAGCCTCCCCCCACCCCCAGACAACCGGCCTTCAGGAGAGAGCTCGGGGGAACAAAACCCGGCTGGGGGAGAGAGGATTCCTTGGTTATTCCCAGTGATTCCCCTCTCAGGAGAAGGAAAATCGCAGACCCGTTTCCCTTGCATGGAGGACAGTGGGGGATGCTGGGGCTGAGCCAG